GGGGGGGGGGCAAGAGGTGCAGAGAGACAGAGAGAGATGGGTTGACAAACCAGCGAAACAGATGTATGTGGTGTGCAGGCGACCTCCCCATCGCTCACCTGCAACATACAAAAACAAATGGGGGAATTTTAGATTAAATACCTTTTACGAGGCCGTTATCAGACAACACAAGTTTAGAGGGCTACACGGGTTTCCATCATCGCACCGACACGATTCTACTTCTGCTTGGATGGCGATCAGCGGTAGTCCTCCCGCCGCTTTTTAAATGGCCGACCCGCCCCTGGCGGTTCACTCTAGTTAATCAGACGCAGCGCCGTTGACCTTTGCCCCCCTCCCCCCCTTTTCCATCGCGAGGGAGGGAGGGAGGGCGCACACGCAAAGGCGGACCATCTTTATGGCGACGCCCTAAAAGTGAAAAGGTCGCAATGACGACCGACTGATGATGAGCCGCAGGCGTATACAACCCCCTAAACCTCCCCCCAAGCAGCCCGGAAAAATGGGACGCGAAACACAAACTTTGCTTGCGCGTTATTTCCCCGTTTATTCATCGTGTCTTTCCCGCGCTGCTGCTATTCGGCATGACGGAGCCGAGTGCGGTCGTGTTACCATTCCGTTAACGAGGCGGCCCTGCCCCGGCGGGTCCGGTGACCCATCCCCTGCCAGTGCAGCCACTTGACGAGGCTTGCGCACCGCGTGGGTCGCCGGGGCCGGGCCGGGCCGGACGGGGAAGATGAGACATTCTGAGAAGCGCGCGCCCCGACCGCGGTAAAGCGAGCCGAGGAACGGGAGGTACAGACAAGGACGGAGACACGCCAATGAAAACAAGTCTCCGCCGCTCGAAATCAAAGAGACTTTGCCAACTCGCCTGCTGCCACCACCATAACGGATCAAAAAAAAAAAGAGAGAGAGCAAAAGAGGAAAAGGGGACGTTAAATCCGGTCTAAACCGTCGCATCGATTTCTGAAGGATAAAGAATTCCTCATTCTTTTCAACCCCCACTTTCCCCTTCCCCTGCCTCAACTCTTCAGGCTGAGCCGCGGTTTTCCTCCGGAGTATGAATAGGAAGTGCATTTTGCGATAGTCCCGAGGACATGGGGAAGGGG